TGCTGCTGCTGCTGCGGCTACTGCTGCTGGTGCTGGTGCTGGTGCTGGTGCTGAGGCGTCGGAGCGGAGGAGCCGATGACGAGCATGACGACAACAAGCATGAGAATCATGATTTATGATGATGAGTCTGATTGTCAGATGATGATGACGACGCGGTTGAAGATGATGATGACGGTGAAGAAGGCCGTGGCCGCGATGATTGTCTTACTTGCAGAATTCCCCTGCTCTCTTTGAGTTTACTCTGGCCGCTGGCCCTTTCCAGCTTTGTTCTTCGTTTGGCTACAAGGTTGCTCGCGATCCTTAGTTTATTTGTCATTTTGCTTGGCGTCTTGCATCTCAGGAAGGCAAGCACAACATTCATCAGAAGTTTGCTGACGAGTTCAACAAGATGCTTCTGGAGTTCTTTGCCGAGTAGGGTGCTCCGAAAAAGCAGCGTGGCTGCCGTATGTGTCGGCTACCTTTGCAGTCGACATCTTGCGCAAGTCGCCTCTGCACATGCGAGGTGCACCCCCTTTTCTCCACCATGAGAGGGTGTTGGTATGCTGTGCCTTTGGCTGGACACCAGCTGCTGGCCTTAGCGAAAAAAGTGCGTGTGAATTGCGAGGTGCTTCTAATTTGCTGAAAAGCTCAGGATGTTTAGCAACTTGAGGTCGAGCAAGCTAGCACGCAAGCATCCGATCACGTGAAATTCCGCTTGACATTCGTCTTCTGCTGATGGGGCTTTCAGTAGCCTGACAGAGTACTGCGAAGCTCCGTCTGCCCAGCTGAGGCCAAGCTTGCTGTGAGGGCCAATGCAGGGCGAGGAGCCCAGGTTTTTCCGGAAAATGATTGCATGGACGTGCCATTGATTGCAGGTACACGATGGAAGAGGTGTCCATGATGCGAGAGAAGTTTGGGACTCTGCACGGCTGTCATGAGATTCCGCGTGACACCGCTTCTCCTACTGAGCGCATGCTGGGGAATCGGCCCACACAGGTTTGCAGTGTATGATGCCAATGGGAGTGGCGACATTGACAATCATGAGCTTGCCAAGCTATTTCAGGAGCGATGAGCCACTGAATGTCAGCTGTTAACAGGGATGCCTGTACTACTTTCGAGCGGGATGGTACTGAACATGGTGTTAAGATGTCATTGCAGCTCATGGGCTTTCCGGGGAGTTTGCCTTGAGTAGTTCGATTTCGGCCTCTTCGTGCCTCTACTAGTAGCAGTAGCAGTAGCAGTAGCAGCAGCAGCAGCAGTAGCAGCAGGAGTAGCAGTAGTAGTAGCAGTAGCAGTAGCAGCAGCAGT